CCAGACCCAGGACAGGAGTCACGAAGTATTGGTGGCCATTAACTGGCTGCCATCCAGGATTGCAACATTGACATATTTGGTTACTAGGCAAGAAGGTGATGGAGAATCGGGGAGCAAGGATGTGTCCTAGGCCAGGAGGGGAGAGAGGGGGAGAGGGGTGAGCAGTGAAGAGACGGGGTAGTGTGTTATAGGCACTTGAGGCTCTCACTCGACATGCCACTTGAGCCAAAGCCACCAGAGCCAGTAGGAAATCCCTGCCACGTATCGCTATGGACAGGGTGTTGAGACCAGGTGCTTTGCCGTGGAAGGGAAGGCAAGCTCAAGACAGCTGGTCCTGAGCCAAGAATCTGTGGCCCAAGCAGGTGAAATCTGTCCCTGTCTGGTCCGCAGCCTGGGAGGCAGTGCTATTGAGAAGGCTGGTCAATGGGCTGAGAGGCAGGGGTGGGTCATGGGGGTAGGGTACGCCATAATATGGGGCTGGAGGCTTGGCCCTTGCTGATGCCAAGCTCCTCACCCTGAAACTTGCATCTCTGTGGATTACCCAGCTGCAAAATGCCACACACGCCCCTGCCCTGGTTATTTTTACACTGGCATTGTGGAATGTGCTATGTTACAGCCGGGGGATGTGCCCGTGATTTTAGTTGTTGACTTCTTTAGTCCCTGCTAAGAATAATAAAAAAAACCCTGACCTCTTCCAAGAACTAAAGCAATGAACACCCCCCACTCACCCACTCCTGTGTTAGCAAAACCTTCTTTTCCATCTCCAGGACACTAAGGATGTAGAAGGCATTTGTGGGGTTTTTTTTAGGGGGGGGTATCACTCAGATTTACATACAATTATATGAGAGGCAGCTTGTTAAGCCCCAACTGGCAAGTGCTGGGGGGAGGTCACTTATGTTCTAGCCAGGCAGGTGAATAGGGTGGCCAATCATAGAGGAGGGGACAGACTGTACCCCAATAAAGGAGGCCCCCCCTTTTCTCCCTTTCCTTGAGAATCCTTATCAAAGAAGACTGGACAACAGAGGAGGAAACTTGGCCCTTAAATAAGGGAAGGGTCAATGGAGCACAACTAGGATTTAGGAGAAACTTCTAGAAATCTTTATGGACAGGTGAACCAGCTAGAATGGAGGAGATGGAGCCCTCGCTTTTTTAAATATACATCAGAAGAGCAGGCAGAAGGGACCTTGAGTGGATCTACTCCATTCATCACCACAGCCAGGGCCAGCTGCGGTCAGGGAGAGCAGGGGATATCACCCTCCTCTCAGGCAGGTGACGAGGCTGAGAAATGCAGGGAAAGGCTGCTTGTTTACAAGTTCCGTGTGGATTCACCTGTGTGCGTGACCCAGCTTTCTTGGGTCTGGAGTGGATCTCTGCAGCAGAGGGGCCTCAGAGACAGGGCTGTGTGTCTCCTTGAGGCAGGTGGAAGACTCTCCGGGCAACCCTGCTGCAGGAGTCCCCTAGCCCACCTGGACAAAGAGCCCTCAGCTGCCCAAGGCAATATGCCGTTGTGGTCAACCCTACACAAACCATAATGAGGACTGAAACCACAGGGCCCAGATTTGTCAATGGTGCTAGTCTGAGGTTTTGCCCACACCGTGGCAGACCATCTGTTTGGGGGAGTGTGGTTGACTATCAGAGATTGGGAAAATGGCTCCTTGAAGAGACTTCAAATGTTTCTTGCCAAGCTCCAAAGTGGCAGGGACAGCATCTTCCACCTTCTCAATGGTACTTCCTATACCTGGCATATGATAATCCCTCCAGAAAGCTTTTGGGATATCAAGGCCTGACAAACCCTTAGGGAAATGCGAGACCAGCATTTCCTGATTGAGGAGCCTGGGTAGAAAGCTGGTATTGCATGCTGGTGAAAGCATACAGAGCTGGGAGCCCACAGAAGTCTGTTCTGGGGTTACCCCCATATCTTCCTCCACTGAGCACTTTCTCATGGGTGGTTTATTCACCTCACCTGAGCCACAGGTTGGAAATGCTGATGTAGTGTTAGCCCATTGTTATGTAAAAGATGAGGCAGGGTCTCAGAGGAACCTTTTGCCAAGAGTCACCCAGCTTTCTGGTGGTGGGGAGAGCCAATCTAGAGGCTCCCTAAGCCTAGCTTGGTGTTTCTGCCACTGAAGGTAGCATGGAGATTGGCCAGGCAGTGCCAATGGGCATTTCTGTAGGCAGTGCAGGCTGCCAGGAAGGCAAGCACTGGTTTAACTAATGAAAGCAGATTGATCCAAATTCACCCAGACTAAGAGCAAACACCTTGATGTAAGTCATTACCTGAGGCTCCTGTCTGTGGTTTAAAACTAGTCAGTCCCTCCTCTGCTTGGCCACCTTGGCTGAAAGTTCTGGAGGCCTGGAAGTCATACCATTGGAGTTCTTTTACAAATGTCTCTAGGCTGGATGTCTCCTCTGCACCCCCAGAGTTGTTTAAAACCAAGGGGAAGTTGTGGCTCAACTGTTGAACTGAGTGGGAGAGGGCAGGGGTTACTAGAGCTGGTACAGGTTGGGTCTAAGCAGTTTGGTGGAGGACAAGTTTGGGTTAGTTCCTCACAATTCAGTGGGCTGGACTGCCCCCAGTTCTGGTCATTGTCCACTCCAAGACACTTGGAGACCCAGAATCAGGCAGGACCCGTTCAGTCCCCACCTGGCAACGTGCAGAGCCAGTCAAGGTTACAGGGCAGGCAGACGGGGAAAATTCAAACTCATGAAGTGGGTAGCATCTTGGAGACCGAGAATGGAGGATTATCAGAGCATGGGGAGGACCTCCAGGATCTGAACATCCAGAGAGGGGAACCCGCTGCCCAGACACATATCAAGGCTGAAGCGAGGGGTTTGGGCCTTGAGCTTGACAATTTGCCATTAGTGACCAGCCAGGAATAGATGCCAGTTATCATCCTTGCTAGGGCTGCTAGCTTAAAGGAGGTGTGGGTTTTTGTTTGTTTTTGAGGGTGAGTACAGGAAAATGACAAGCATGTCCTCACACCTCATTGGGGGTCAGACAGACCACCCAAAGCCTTGCCCCTGTCAGTAGCACTGACACTGAGCCAGCAACCCAGACTTCATCCTGTTCCATCATGATGGCTCAGGGTCCCTAGCTTCTAGGATGGGTTCCTCCCCATAGAGTCTGAAGCATAGCCAGCTATGGAGCAGCAAAGGGACATTACCCAAGTATGTGAAAGGGCCACTTGGATGGCAAACTCCTGCTGGGAGATGGTAGGTGGGCCAGGCATGAGGGCTGGGGTGGATGCAGGGCCACACCCTGTGGGGAGCCTCTTCTCTCTTCCCACTGCAGGCTCCCTGTGAGAGCCCCTCTCCTCCCCTCCAGCCCCTGCTGCCCCCTAAGGCTGGGACTTGAGCCAGATCCCTCAAGTCCCTGCTTTTGGTTCAGTCAGATCTCCAGGAGAGAGATATCTGTGGGGCTTCATCGTGGGGTCCTGGGAACAATTCTTCAGAGAGAACTCTGGTGGCAGGGCTAAAGCTTTGAAAAGAGATACATTATGGAGTGTACAGCCTTCAGGTCCTAAGCTTGTGAGGTCCAGATCTACTGCTGAGAGAGGCCATGGGGTGGTGGTGATTGGACAGTTTTATATTAGCCATGAGACTGGGGTCCATCAATTCCTGGGTATCATGAGATGAAATTGGAGTTGGGGAACCCTCAGAATTCCGGCTTTGATGTTTCAAGATTGCTTGCTTGCTTGCTTGCATCCTTCCTTCCTTTCCTCCTTCCCTTCTTCTTCCTTCCCTCCTTCCCTCTCCCTCCCTCCCTTTTTCTCTCCTTGTCTATTCTTTTTGTGTGTGCTGGTACTGGGGCTTGAACTCAGGGCCTCAGGTACTATCCCTTAGCTTTTTCCGCTCAAGGCTGGTGTTTACCACTTGAGCCACACCTCTACATCTAGCTTTTTGGTAGTTAAGTGGAAATAAGACTCTCACAGCTTTCCCTGCCTGGACTGGCTTCACACTGAGATCCTGACACCTCAATCACCTGAGTAGTTAGGATTATAGGCATGAGTCACCAGTGCTCAGCACACAAATTGTGCCTCTTAGCCAATGCTGCCATTCCCAATCCACCACAATCAAGCATGGTTTTCTGTTGCAAAGTTGTTCTGTCTTTCCTACAACCTGGCGTGGTTAGACAGAATCCCAGAATCCACTATCCCAGAATGCAATGCGTATGACAGTACCTCTCTAGTCCCTCAGCAAAAGTGGGTAGAGTTGGCTTTGTGAAAATTATTTCAGGCCTGTGTGAGCTCACTGTTTTCTGGATGATTTCTGCACAGGTACAGCTTCATGCTAACACTTCTGCTCTCAGAGCTTTATCCCCTGGCCCTGCCTACCTCCTCCTCTTCTTAAACAGGGGGTCCCAGATACTCTGCAAACCAGTACTAAAAATGTACTTAAGTTTCCTCGCTCAAAGAAAAGATCCTCAAATGACTCTTTGGTAATAAATTGGGAAAGATGGGCCTCCAGTTGACTTGGAAGTGGGATTTGGGAGTCCTGGACTGTCACCATGGAGACAAGAGCCCACACCACAATGCAAAGAGGAATTCCCTAGGTACTAGGGAAGGCTTATAGGTCTGGGTATACTTGCCACTGGATCTCTCATGTACCCCTCGTCTATTTGAGGGGTACCTTACTCTCTCTATTCTAGGCCCACAGTCTTCTAGAGAAAACTCAGGCTTGAGTGTTTTCTCTGGTCACCTCTCAGTAGTAGTAAGCCTCAGGATCACCTGAAAGTCTGGACAGAATGGATTATAGACACCATTGCAAGATCTAGTCCAATTCCCTCATCTAACCCTCTTATTTTATAGATGAGGAAACTGAGGCCCAGACAGGGGCAGGAACTGATGTAAAATTGTAGAGCTAGGTGAGAGCTGAATGATAGCAAAGTTGGGGTTCAACTCAGGCCTCCCAATGGTCAGTCCAGGGCTCTTTCTAGCAACCATTATATTGGCTACAGCTCAAAAATGGTCCCCTTCCTGTCCCCTTCCCTCCCCTCCCCCTTACACATAATTGGGATTATAGCAGAGCATGTTGAATTCCAAGCTCTCGTCCCAGTGTCGCAGGAGCACGAACAGCTGGCGGGCAGCGGCCTTGAGTGTGCCCCGTGTGCGGCCCTCGGGTACCTCCTGCTGCTCCAGCCATGAGTTGGCCTTGGCTGCCACCAGCTCCCATTCAATAAAGTAGGAGGCTGAGCTGTGCTCCAGCCAGGCCAGTGCCACCACGGTGGCCCACATCTTGCCGGTGTGCTCCACCAGAGACTTGGGCTCCAAGCCTGGCCTGCCATCAGCTGAAGGCTCTAGGCAGCTGCTGTCACCAGATGTGTGGCGGGGTGTAGGGAGGATGCACAGCTGTGGGTTGGGGGTCTTAGGATCAGACTGGCGTGTGGTGAGGGACATCCGGTGGTAGGTAAAAGGGGAGGTCCACTTGAGTTTCTCCATGGGGATGTGGATGGCCTCGCAGAAGGCTTGGTTGAGTAGGAAAGCGCCGGAGGCCAGCTGCAGCGATACCTGTAAGGAGGAGGGGGAGCCTGCTCAGTGTATCTCAGACTTTTTGGCTCCTGGATCTCCAGGCCCATGCCATCGTTCGGACTCACAGTCAAACCCTCAGGAAGTCTTTGCTCCAAACCTGCCTCCTGTTCTGGGCAGGCCCAGCCTGGCCTCCAGGACTGACTGTCCAGCAGCCTGGCCTTGCTCATCTCTTAATCCTTCCTTGTGCATGGATCTATCTGTAACTCCCAACAGGTCTGCTTTCCAGATGGCTCCCTAGTCTGCTGTCTGCCTCCTCATGTAGACCCTGCCCCTTTTTTTCTCCCTGTCCCTCAATTTAACCCATCCTCTTGTACCCAGAGGTGGCACCGTAAGGCTTTCCAAAGGCTCAGTTCTGGGGCTCCAATCTTCTATTAGAGCAAGTTGGGAAGGTGATAGTAGGCTTTAGAAGGCCTTGCACTCCCTCACCCTGTTTATCCTGGACTCTCAAAGTCTCTGTCTCTCTCTTTAACCATAACCCCGTGTGCATTTGGCTCAGTCATTTCCTTGTTTGGAAAGTCACGCTTAATTCCACGGCCAACTCTATCTCAGGCCTGGGTTTTTATGACATCCCTTCCCTTGGCGATTCAGAGCGACACCATAGATTTAGGTCTTCAAGAGTAAGTGTGGGATGAAGTACAAAGTGTCTTCTTCCTTCGAGGCCCCTGTGACCCCCCAATCCAGAGGAGGCGGGACAGTGCCTGCTGCTGGCCTCCTCACTCAGAAGCCGGCTCCAGCCCTGAGCTTCCCACCCCATCCAGCCGCTTGCTAAAGACAGTACTTGTCCCTGGGGTGTGAATTTCACCCGTTTGTGAGTCATTTCAAGGCTTATTTTTATGTACTGCAAAACAGACACACAGAGATGGCACCGTAAAGTGTAACATTCTTCTGAATTTTTTTTTAAGATAAAGAGAGAAGATTGCAAAGAATTTTCCTGGAGGCGGGCATTGTTTTCTAGCCACACCCTTGGGCTCCTGAGGTGTGGGTGGGTGTGGGGGGCTTGTGCCAGCTCTCTCTGCCCTGCTGGATGCTTGGGTGAGAAGCTCCAGGAGGCTGTGTAGAACTCAGAGGATCTGAGCTCTAAGACAAGATCTTCTCTTTGAAGAGGGGGTGGGGGGAGCAGGGTGGGTAGGTGGAATCTGAGGTCTGGGGCACTCACCAGGGGTATATAGTCGAAGTTCTGGTTCCCAGTAGGTGACTCTGGAGCCTTGACCAGTGACTTGCCCAGGAAGCCCTTGGCTGCTCGGGTCAATAGCCGGGACTTGGGAAGAGTCAGCCTGTGTGGGTGGGAGCAGAAATTCCGCATCATCCAGCGCCCCCAGTGACTGCCCAGAAGCCCCTGAAAGTCAGGGCCAGAAGGACCCAACAGTCTCTTCCTCCCTCACTTGAAGCTGGGGAAATAGAGGCTCCTAGTTAGCAGCCACTGGCTGGCAGGAACCAGTCAGCATTCCTGAGATACCTTACTAGGTGTGTTTGCATTTGAAGAGACCATGGGAATGAATAAGGAGATACTTGGGGGTGGAGGGGTGGGCAGAGGAGGGGGACACCAGGCAGCTGGAGAGCCTGAAGCCAGCCTGTTGCAATGTCAGGCTGGACCTGCCTTTGATCTCTCCAGCTCGGGACAGCTCTGAAAAAGCAGGAAAGCAGGTCTTCATGAAGACCCCACTTACTTGGATCCAAAGAGATTCTCTGAGACCTTCATGGAGGGCATGACATTGCTGGGCAGGCTGTGCAGGGGACCTGGAGAGCCACAGAAGGACAGATTTAGGCCTGACAGGTGACCTGTCCCAGTGCTGACTGTCAAGCTGGGGAAACAGAGTCTCCGAGCAAGACAGGGGAGATCCGAGCAAACCCTAAGGAGGCAGGGCTGTTTCCAACCCAGCGGAATAGGTAGAGTGGGGCTGGGAAGGTGGCTCCGTGGTAGGGTGCTTGTCTCACATGCATGAGGCCCTGGGTTTGATTCTTCAGCACCACATAAATAGAAAAAACAGGAAGTGGTGCTGTGGCTCAAGTGGTAGAGCGCTAGCCTTGAGCTGAAGAGCTGAGGGACAGTGCCCAGGCCCAGAGTTCAAGCCCCACAACTGACAAAAAAAAAAAAAAAGGATAGGTAGAGTGGTCCAAGCTCCCCATTCTCCACCCCAAGGTGGTCCCTAGAACCTTCTGGGTGGTTAGCTGTGGGAGCTAAGACAGTTTCATATTAACTGTCCTCAGTTCCCAAGTAGGAACATGGAGCTGGCTCCCTGGCACACTGCCAGAGGACAGGAGGCTGAGTGCGGTAGGGTAAGGGCCTCTCTATTGGAATCTAGAGCAAGCCTCTGTCACCGACTTGCTATGTGACCTTGTGCCCATCATTTGCTCTCGTCAGCACTCAGTTGCCCCATTTTTTGGAGGGGAGGCCTCCGGTCATGGGGCCTGAACTCTGGGCCTAGGCGCTGTCCCTCAGCTCTTCAGCTCAAGGCTAGCGCTCTACCACTGGAGCCACAGCGTCACTTCCGGCTTTTTTCTTTTTGCTTATGTGGTGCTGAGGAATGGAACCCAGGGCCTCAGGCATGCAAGGCAAGCGCTCTACCACTGAGCCACCTTCCCAGCCCCAGTTGCCCCCTTTTTAAGTCAGAGATCATTCCTTTCATTTCCTGGCTGGTCTGAGGAAGCAGTGAAGTTGGCAATGCTCTGTTGGTACTAAGACACCTCCCGAACCCATGACTACCCACTCATCTCCATTGTAATTAGGTGATGGTGCAGCTTCCCACCCACCTTCGGAGGCCGCGTGCTTCTCCCGGGCAGAGGACAGGACCTCGTTGAAGGTCACTGCTGGGCTTTCCTCCATGCCTGGGACACAGAAAGTCAGTGAGGGCTGGTTTCTCCTGGTTCCCCCTGGCTTCCCTCTTACACACCCCTCCTTGTGACTGGCTGTGTGGTCCTTGGGAATGTGACATTCTTTACCAATGTCCTTTGCAAATGGAAGCGAATGGGACCCATCTCACGGGCTGCTGTAAGGTTCGATGATAGGATACACAAATAGTGCTTAGTGCCAGGCAAAAAGCCTTGAGTGCAGCAGACCTCGTAGAGAAGCAGGAACAACTTGGGGGTTCAGGGTGGGAGTCAGGAGCAGGAGGAAGGCATCTCCTCCACCCTAGGAGGAGGGGGAGGAGGGGGCACTACTGCATGCAGGCTTTCTAGGAGGCAAATGGAACATGGCTCTGACTCACCAGAGGGTTCTGAGCCTGTGTTCCTCTCTGTAAATGGTGAATAATCACACATACTATGTCCAAAATGCTTTATTGGGCTGATTATTTATTATTATTGTTAATAATAATAATAATATTTTGTTGGTCCTGAGGCTTGAAATCAGGGCCTGGGTGATGTCCCTGAGCTTTTTGGCTTGAGGTGAGCATTTTACCACTTGAGCTACAGCTTTACTTCCAGGTATTGAATGGTTACCTGGATAGAAGAGTCTCAGAGACTTTCCTGCCTGGGCTATCTTTGTACTGTGATCCTCAGATCTCAGCCTCCTGACTGAGTAGCTAGGGTGACAGGCATGAGCCACTGGTGCCTTTTCAAGAGTGGGATAATCTCCTGTCAGGAAGCATCCACACTGTAGAAGAAGACTAAGGTATAAATACATTCTACACAGCCTCTGTCTCCCATCAGGAGGCCATTACCTCAGGCAAGGCATGGCGGGACTTCGCTCATTAACCCAGCTCTCAGTGAACTAGAGACTGAGTGGCTGAGGCAAGCAGGAAGAAAGCAGCAGGGAAGCTTAACCTCATGACCACGGGGGTGGATATTGGGTGTAATCATTTGCTCCATCGCACATCAGCTATGTGACCTTGAGTGAGTTACTTAACCTCTCTGAGCCTCGCTTTCCTCATCTCTTCTCTCTCTCTCTCAAGATACTTGGGAGGTGGTATGAGGAAAACAGTGCTAATCAGTGAAAACTGCCAGTGCTGGCCGTGGTCTTTCTCCTGGAGTAGAGGGCCGTGGGGTATATAGAAGAGTTTAGGCACTGAAGCCTCTCGCTATTGCATTGGGCCATGGGAAGACAGAGATTTGTGATGTTTTTTGTTTGTTTGTTTTTGTCAGTTGTGAGGTTTGAACTCTGGACCTGGGCGCTATCCTTCAGTTCTTCAGCTCAAGGCGAGCACTCTACCACTTGAGCCACAGCACCACTTCCAGTTTTCTAGTGGTTTATTGGAGATAAGAGTCTCATGGACTTTCTTGCCTGGGCTGGCTTTGAACCGTGATCCTCAGATCTCAGCCTCCTGAGTAGCTAGGATTCCAGGTGTGAGCCACTGGCGCCCGGTGAGATTTGTGATTTTGATGCAAGCCACAGACCACTAACAGCTAAGCTGCAGAGAAGAAAAAGGTAGACAGGAAAGTCCCTGGGAGCTTGGCGTGGCTCAGGTAGAGAAAGGTCCCCTGGGGTTTAAAGTCCCCAAAGGGACCAAGGGACCAAGATGTTGGAGAAGCCTTTAATTCTGAAGAGAGATTCTGGGTGTCCACTCATTTGGCTTCTTTCTCTACTCATCAATGCCCATGAACACATTCTTGCCGCTCACATCAAACATGTTTACAGTCTGATGACCTGGTGGGCCCTCTAATGCCCTCCTGATGCCCAGCAGCAGGCCGGATGACCCCCCTGTGCACACAGGGCAGCAAGAAAGGGGTTAAGACCATGGCCACTCGTAGGCTGTGTGCACACATTCAGGCTGCAGGGTGCCGGGCAGCCATTCTGCACATCACAGGAAGGCCATGTCATGGCTTTTGAAGGTGCTCAAGCTGTAGGCACCCAGAAAGGGGAAGCTGGAGGGAGGCAGGCAGATGGAACCACCCCCCTGTCCTCTGCTTTATGACATTTCCTGGCATTTGATGTCCCAGAGGCTGAGACCGTCACTACAGGAAATTGAAGGTCATAGGGCCACTACAGTCAATCGAGAGGCCCTGTCGCTCCTGGTTCTCTCTGCAGCCAGCCACATGAACAGTGCTGAACTTGAGTCAGGCGGAGCCCCTATGCCCACCCGCAGGCTTCTGAGTTGGGGTGGCCTGCCCTTCCCCTCACCCTGTCTGAGGGCCCAGAATGCAGGTTCAGAGAAGACCCACTGGGTTCTCAGACATGAGGACGCTGGAACACCAGGGGTGCAGGCTTTGGAGCACAGGGATGTGACTCCGAGGCTCTGAAACTTACCATCTCCGGAGGCTGGGTCTTCTCTGAGCATAGCTTGGGACCGTCCAAAGCCAGTAGAGGCATTCCTCCACTGTCGGGTGAGGACCCGGGAGCTGATCATCCGAAACGAGGTACCTGCGCAGAGGGCAAGGGCATGAGCTTGGTGCATGTCCATACGCCCATCCTTACCTCTCCCCCGGCTGCCTGTAACAGGTCTGACTCCTACCTTCCAGTGTGCGTAAGGCAGGGAGGTGGGGGCTACAAGGCAAGACTGGGAGCTTCAGAATCAGGAAGACTTGGGTCTGAGGCCCACTACCATCTCTACTTGGCTGGCTGGCATGTGAATCCCTCTGGAGTTTCCATTTCCCCATCTGGAGAATGGAGACAATACCCTCCATCTGGCTAGGCAGATAGATCGCTGAGATCCTATGTACCTGGGGAAAAGCTGCTTTTCTCAGGAACTCTGTTTGCTGTTCTAGAGACCCAGCTTCCAACTCCCCTGCCCCTGAAGGCCTGGGTAGCTGCCAACCTTTGAATTCCTGGGCATTTCATGTATGGAAGATGGATAAAGTCAAAGCCCTCAGGGATTTAGGGAATATTACTTTTAGACAACACTTCAAGTTGTTTCTTGAAAAAAAGAAAGAAAGAAAAAAAAAACCCGAGAGTTGAGCTGTGCGTGGTGCTTCAAGCCTGTGATCCTAGCTACTTGGGAGGTAGAGATCAGGGGATTGGAGCTCCAGGCCAGTCTGGGCAGAAACATTTGGTAAGACTCCATCTCAAACCAATGACTGGGGGCTCATTTGTCTGTGATCTCAGCTACAGGGAAAGCACCATGACCAGAAAGTGGTAAGTACCTGGCACTCCTAGCAACACAGGGCAACCAAAGTAAGAGGGATCACAGTCCAGCCCAGCATGAGCATAAAATTTGAGACTCAAAAACATTCAATATAAAGAGGAGCTAGAGGTGTTACTCGAGTGGTTGAGCGCCTGGCCAGCAAACCAATGGCCCTGAGGTGTATTGGGAAATACAAGCTTTGGGTCATGGTCTATCCTGTTAGCTCCTCCTGAGTGCTCCTTTAGAAGAGAGAGCTTCTGACCTTGTTTAATCTAGGGCCTGCTAAATGGTATTTCCCATGCTGATCTGTCCGGTTTTGTGCTGGGCAATTAGCTATGGACAAGACAAGAAACCAGGTCTGCAGTATCTTAGCTCCCACACAGGGAGGGAAGGGGTCTGCATTGGTCTAGATGGAACTTGGAGTGAGACACTAGTCAGGCCTTTGGCAATTTAGTACCCAGGACTCATTCCTAGATGACTGTCAGTGAAGTCATTTGTATTTATTGTGCATCCTTTTGTATTTTGGATTTTTCTACAAGAACACATAGGTATTACTTGTCTATGGGGGCAAAAATATGTTCACATCATTTTCCTTTGATGGGAAGAAGGACCCAGAAGCTCCCTGCCACTGGTCCTCAACTATCTGCCAGGGCCTTTTTGTTTCTAGGCCCTACCTGACACCCTCCCCACAGGGAAGGGCTCCCTTGTATCCCAGCCCTCCCCTAGTGCCTGGGCTGAGTGGCACTCAGGTGCAGCTACCTGTGTGCCTTACCAGAATTGGGGTACTCCACCACCATGGGCAGGTAGCGGCTTTTGCTTGTATCCACAGGCACGAAGGCTGTGTACTTGCTGATGATGTTGCAGGCCTTGCTGGTGTGCACAGCATTCACCTGGTAGCGGCGATTGGACCCTGGGGTGGGGCGAGGGGGAAGAAGGGGGAAGGCTGGGGTCATGCTGTTTGTTCTCAGAAAGTCCCGCTTGTGCCAGGCACTAGTGGCTCATGCCTGTAATCCTAACTATTCAGGAGGCTGAGATCCGAAGCTCACACAGGGAAGTCTGCGAGACTCTGATCTCCAAGTAACCACCAAAAAGCCAGAAGTGAAACTATGATTCAAGTGGTAGAGTGCCTGCCTTGAGTGAAAAAGCTCAGAGACAGAACCCAGGCCCTGAATTCAAGTCCCAGTACTGCCACAAAACAAAATTCACACAAGAACCCCTTCTGTCTGTCGTCCTTTTATATTTTAATTTTGTCTAATGAGAACCTTGCTGCAGGACTTCATGGGTCTAGAAGGAATGTAGTTGGGACAAGTGCTTTGCAAAAGGGGTAGAAGAAAAAATAACATGCATTACCCCAAACCACAAAATAAAATATACACAAGATTATGTAAATAAACTAGAAGCCAAAAATAAAGCAATCATGTAACTCTTCTTGTATTTCTATCTACTCTTCAAGATCCCACTAGTCAGTTCTGGGGAAGTCTGTCCCAATTCTTGAATGCAATTAGCTGCCTACCATCCTTGTTACATAATTCTTGGATCCCTATGTTTCTTTGGGATAGCTCTTAGGACAAATGCACTCAATTAACTGTTTGGGTAATGGTTTGATCAATGCTAGCTTCTCTAATGGTCTGTGTCAAGCACTCATAAAAGGAAGTGGGGGGGGGATTGCTCTACCTGGTAGACCAGGCCAGCATTAGCCAGGACCCCAGGAGATCCACAGTAAGTCAATGGGGATGATGTGTGTGTGTGTGTGTGTGTGTGTGTGTGTGAAAGAGAGAGGGAGAGAGAGAGAGAGAGAGAGAGGTCTACAGACTCTGTGGAAAAGGTGCTATTGTTCCTGAGAAGCTACTGCCATTGCTCTGTTTCTGATCCCTACAAGGGAGGAGGGGGGAGCAGCACTGGTGGGGGGGGGAGCAGGAGTGAAGAAGAGGTTGGAGAGATGAGGATGGCTTACAGTGGGGGAGGGAGAGGTGAGGATCTCAAGGGCCCAAGAGACAAGGAAGACAAGGAGACAAGGAAGGCTTTTGGAGAGTGACAGGAGGCAGGACTCTGCCTTGGGATGGGTGAGGACACAGTCCTGGACTTTAGAAATGTGTGGTGTGGGAGGGGTGATTTGAGGGGAGATGCTGGAGGAGGAGGGGTGGGGGAAGAGTGGGAAGAAGGGGAGGAGGGAAAGGAGGAGGTGGTGGTGGTGGAGGTGTATTAGCCCATGGGGGTGCTATGGGGAAGTGGAAGGGCTGGAGGAAGGAGAGGCTTGGAAGGAGGCAGGTTGAGGGGAGGGTAGATTAGGAACGAAGTGGGTGTGGCACTGTTGGGGAAACTGGGGTTGGGCTGGGGGGGGGCACTGAGCGGGGCTGGGCCGTCCCTGGGAGTGGAGGAGGATGGGCGGGTTCTAAAAGTAGGCAGGGCCAGGAGGAGCAATGAGCGGGTCCCAGGGAGTGGGCAGGGATGGGAAAGGGGTATGATGGGCTCTGGGAGTGGGCAGAGCCAGGGGGACTGAGCAGGAATGGGCGGGGCTGAGATGGTAGGTGGGCCCTGGGTGGGTGGGCCGTGGGAGGGGCTGGGAAATGATGGGCGTTGACGTGGGCGTGGCTTGATGGAGGGATGGGTGGGCCCTGGGAGTGGGCGGGGCCATCCAGAGTGGGATGAAGGGGTGTGACTGAGGGAGGAAGGGGACAGGTGGGGCCTTGAGTGGGCGGGGCGGTGGGCGGGGCCCAGCGCAGAAGCAGGTCTGAGGCCTCACACCGCACTCACCTTGCTCGATCTCGTCCTCACGCTCTGCTAGCTGCTCAAAGTCGCGGATGATGGCGCGGGCTGCCAGGTGGTGGAAGGTCTCGCTCCACAGGTCGGTGTCCCGCGCAGTGCCTCGCTCAGGACTCGGGGGTCCCAGCTCAAAGCTTACCTCCCACTCCATGCGTTGGCTTTCCCGGAGGCCTTTGACCAAAGCCTTGCCCAGCACGGGGCCCGGTGTGATGGGCCTCTCTTCGGGCTCAGCCATGGCCTCCCAGTCTGGGGATGTTTCTACCCCTACGGCGGGGGAGGGAGGAGGTGGTTCTGTGGGTGGTGGGACAAGAGAATCACAACTCACAATTCATCATCCCTCCCCAGGGAGCAGCTACCTGAGAGGGACAGACCTACATCCCAGGAAGCCTGTACCTGCGGGGTCCAGACAGGATGGGGTAGAGGCACTGCGGCAGGGAGAATGGAGCTGCCGTTTCATGGGGACCAAGGCCTAGGTTAAAGGTGGGAGTGGTGGAGCAAGGGTGGGGCATAGCAGACCCCTGAGAACCACAGACACAGGCCTTGGCCCTCTGGACTGTCATCTGAAGCGGGGCCACAGTCAAGGCTTCCTCTCTGCCCCTTATCAATTCAGGGCCTTCGGCACTTACCAGCGTCCCCAGTGCTGCTACTGTCCATGGCAGGCTTCAGGGTGGACTCAGGTTCCTGCTCCTTCATGGAGCTCCAGGCCTGGGTTTCCTGGCCAGAGACCAACATAGGCTGGCAGCCTTGAGGTAGCAGAGAGGGCCTTCGGGCTCCCGGGCCACGGAGTTTGGGGCCCTGCAGTAAGTCTTGGCCATTGTTAACCAAGGGCTGGGGATACAAGAAGAGGAAGAGCCCATGGTGGCTGGATCCTTCTTCTGACCTTCAGCTACAGATCTTTTCCTGGGCCTCTCCTCTAGGAGCAGAGCCTTCCAGCACCCCAACAGACTCCATAAACTCATGACTCTGTGTGTGTGTGTGTGTGTGTGTGTATGTGTGTGCGCGTGCATGCGTGCATGCATGCATGTGCACATGCAGTATTGGCACTTGAATTCAAGAGCTTTGTGCTCTTGTTTTTTTTTTAATTAATTAATTTATTTATTGGTCTGGTCGTGGGGCCTACACTCTGGGCCTTGGAGCTGTTCCTCAGCTCTTCAGCTCAAGGGTAGCGCTGTACCACTTGAGCCACAGCACCACTTCTGGCTTTCTTTTTCTTCTGCTTATGTGGTGCTGAGGAATTGAACCCAGGGTCTCATGCATGCAAGGCAAGCATTCTACCACTGAGCCAACTTCCCAGCCCTCTTGTTTGTTTTTTTTTAACTCAAGGTTGGCACTTAACCTCTTGAGCCATACATCTACTTCTGGCTTTTTGCTGGTTAATCAGAGATAAAAATCTTGATGGTTTGTCTGCCTGGACTGATCTCAGCCTCCTGATTAGCTAGGATTACAGTTAAAAGGAAGTAGGGTCCAGTAGATTCATGAACTTGTCTTCATTACCCATGAGAAATATCAACAAGAAAAATCCCAAACCATGAGTAATTTCCAAGCAACCAAAAGAAAAAAAAACATGATAATTCTAAACCTACTTTTTTTTGGCATAAAGTTCAAAACTTTTTTTGTGGATAGTTAAAATTATCAACCTTTTTCCCTTATGTCTTCCCATATGTTGTGCTTAAAAAGGTCTTTCTCACTCAAAAAATATTCTAGAGTTTTGGTGATTTTATTTTTGTTTGTATGTTTAAATCTTTGATTCACAGGGAATTTAGTTTACTGAGGAGATAGAGACTGGCTTTTCTTTGATTTTTTCCAAATCAAATGATTTCCAAATCAACAGTATTTATTGAATACAGTTTATCTGCCGGGTCCCTGTGGTTTCCCTGTTCTCTCCTCAGAGCCCAACACAGCTTTCATGAGCAATTGACTTTGTTTATGGATTTTCTTTTCTGTTTATCAAATCTATCTGTTCTGGGGTTGGTACAACAAACATCTAAAGGCAAGGGGGCACACTGGGAAGTGTATTTAGCAAAAGCCACTTTTAAGAAAATACTCTTCTAGAAGAAATAACAGGAAAGGGAGGAAAACAGGTTCTATTGGGGGGAGCGGTAAGAGTGAATGGGGAGGGCTAGCAAAGAGCGTGAATGAGGACAAATATGGTCCAGTTGAGGAGCTTATTTGCATGGAGGAAAATAGAACAATGAAATCTGTTGCAATTTTTTTAACTCATGGCCTGGGCCTTGTCCCTGAGCTTTTTTACTCAAAGCTAGTACTCTACCACTTGAGCCACAGCTCAACTTCTGGCATTTTTGGGTGATTAATTGGTTATAAAAGTCTCACAGATTTTCCTGCCTGAGCTGGCTTTGAACTGTGATCCTCAGATCTCAGACTCTTGAGTAGCTAGGATTATAAACAAAAGCCACTAGAGTTCCTGGCAAAATTAAGTTATTAATCTTATGAATGAGTTATGGGCACTCAGGTAGTAGAAGATCACACTCAACAGAAAGATTTCTTCACACTAATGTGGAAAATTGTCCAAGATAAAGCTGGTTCTAAAAATTAAATTGTGACTTCTCGATCATAATTGTGGCAAAGATCACCGGACTATGGAGGCATGTGACAAATCTCATCAGTGCTGTTTACTACAACACTTGTACAACATGTGGTGAAAGCTTGTTATCCTAGTATTCAGGAGGCAGAGGCAGGAGGATTGTGAATTTGAGGCCAGCCTGAGCTATATAACAAGACTCTGAAACAAAACTGGACCTAAAGAAAAAAAAGATAAAAAGATGAAAAGAAACCCAAACAATTCACCAGAAAGAGCAGCTTGTACATTCAATTATTTAAAAATAGGTGTGTGTTGTGTATGCATATGTGTTTGTGTTTAGTAATTCTAGAAGGAAACACTCAAGTAGGTGTTGGTGGCACAAGGGAAGGAGATTTTATTTGTACTTTATATCCAACTGAACTGTTTGGGGGTTTTATTGCCAATGATAGGTATTACTTTTGTCACTGAAAAAGATTAAGTGTCTGTGTGTGCACACATGCACATGCTAGTCCTAGAGTGTAAACTCAGGGCTTAGGTGCTGTCCCTGAGTTTTTTTTTTACTCAAGGCTGGTTCTCTGCCACTTGAACCACAGCTCCATTTCCAACTTTTTGGTTGTTCTTTTTTTTTTTTTTTTTTGGGTCCGGTCGTGGGGCCTGAACTCTGGGCCTGGGCGCTGTCCCTCAGCTCTTCAGCTCAAGGCTAGCGCTCTACCACTTGAGCCACAGCGCCACTCCGGCTTTTTCTTTTTGCTTATGTGGTGCTGAGGAATTGAACTCAGGGCCTCAGGCATGCAAGGCAAGCACTCTACCACTGAGCCATCTTCCCAGCCCACTTTTTGGTTGTTAATTGGAGATAAAAGTCTCATGGACTTTCTTACACAGGCTGGCTTTGAACCAGGACCCTCTCAGCCTCCTGAGTAGCTAGGATTACAAGCATGAGCCACAGGTACCTGGCAAGATTAAGCTATTAAAAATGAATTTCAAGCTCTTAGAAAACAAAAGAAATTTTAGGCCAACAGTTAACTTTGCATTTTCATTGTTATTGAGTATCACTGGGAAGGAGAGTAGGCCTCCTTGTTGAGTGGGGGCTACCTTCCTCTCTCTGGGCTAGAAGTCTTTGAGATGGCACGAGAGAGGAAGAGAAGGAGACTGGTCACTCTTAGGGGGGCCTTCATAGGAGCTGGTACTCAGCCATACTATTGAGTCCAGAGGATCCTTAATCCCCTTTCCCACACTGGAGACTGGGGTCTCTACCCACCTCTGACCTCACATTACCCACACTGGGTCAGGGAGAGAAACTGAAGTTGCTGCAGTTTCCATGACAACAGATGAGTCCCAGATCTAGCACTTCCTCCAGTCAGAGGCTCCAGAGAGAGAGAAAGAAAACGTGTGTGTGTGTGTGTGTGTGTGTGTGTGTGTGTGTGTATGCGTATGCTAGAGAGAATCATATTAGAAAAGGAGGGAAGGAAAGAGGAAGGGAGAGGAGGAAAAGATGAACACTGATGGGGCTAGGTGGGAAGAGGTAGGGAGCCAGCAGATGCAGAAGGAAGCAATCCTGCCTGAGCTTTCCCAGGGGCAGGGGAGCTGAAGCACACCTGCTGTCCTGTGTTGGCCAGCTCTTTATCACCCATCAGCAGTGCTGGAAGAGACCTCCATTTAGACGTGTGGCCGGATGGTAGCTCAGCCATCGGCATCTGCCCCAGTTAGCATATGGAGACCGTGGGGGCACAGAGGGGTTAATGATAGTTTGAGGAAGAGTTGAGTCTGGCTCCAAGACTAATGCTCTCCAATTGCATCAGGTGGCTGGTTGGTCCCTGGCTAAGCACAGAGGAGGGCCCAGGGGCAAGGTGGCTGTAGGTGGCCTGTGTGCAAGTGGAGGCAAGAAGGGGTGACGGGTGGTGGTGGCCAGAGGAAAAAAGGCTGCCTTCATGGGATGGCAGACTCACGACAAATCCATATAAAGCCTATTCTTAACAAAATAGAGTAAACCACAAGCCGGCTTGGCGTGGCCGTGCTCTCCACAGGATGCCTTTGCCTCTTGTGGCCCATTTGGTTGTCGTGACTAGGGGCTCTTATAATTCTTGGCCTTCAGTGAGCAGAGGCCAGAGGTTCTGCCAAACATCCTAGGGTACCCAGTACAGCCCAGTACCCCCCCCACTCCACTCCCAGTGATGCTGAGCCTGAGAACCCTTCATCTGGCAGAACACTGGCAGCTCTCCTGCCGTAGTTGCTGGGACTGGCAGGAGGGAGTGTGTGCTGGAGAGAAAGCAAAGACTTTGAAGGCTGAAGGTCCTGGGCCCCTTTGATTGGCTGGGTGACTCTGAATAGCTTGCTTTACCTCTCTGGTCCTTGATTTCCACATGGGAACGGAGCCCTGAAGATGTTTCCTCTCTCAGGGTGCTGTAAATCTAATGACAGTAGGTGCAGATGCCCTTTGCCAATTGGTCACAGCATGTGGCCTCATGGACTAGTGATTAGGGAGGTGTCATTGGTGGAGCAGTTGAAGGCCCAAGAAAGGTGTGGGGTGCAGGGAGGACTTACTCCCTGAGCTAGGGGATCCCTGTCTTAGGTGTTAGAAAGTAGTCCTGTGTTGGATCAGATAGGTCTACTAACCCAGTACTCAGCTGACCTTATGTAAGTGATGGACAGGCCTTGTCCTCATGGCTAAAGCATTATACACAGCTTTCCCCTGGCTCCCCTCCCCCCCCCACCTCCATTAACCTGGCTCCCCTCCCCCCCCACCTGCATTAACCTGGCCTTGCTTGGGTACCTGCAAGTCAAGGTGCCACCGAGGGCCATCCAGGCTGGGCTGGCTGGTGAGTTCCTGCAGCCTGGCTTTACGCAATGGGTGTTTCTTGGCAGTCATGGTGGAGTCACTGGATGTGGTGGCCCTTGAGCGGGGCTTGTGGTTGGTGATCTGATTGGTGCTGTATGCTCGCCGTCGCTGGAGTTCCGGTCCTGGGTTTGGATGGAGTAGAAATGTCGCAAGCTTCAATCTCCTCACTCTCTTTCTTTTCCCTTTGCCTACTGAAATATGTGAAGAGGTCTCCCCTGGCATCTAAAGCCTTGTCTGTTTTCCCAGCATCCCTTTCTTCTGCCCCCCTTTTAGAAGTACCATAGGCTCCCATTGTGAATGTTTTTCCTAAGTGCCACACCCCTACGCCTTTGCCTAGGCAGTTTTTTCTTTTCTTTTTCTTATTTTTGTCAGTCATGGCATGACTGAACTCAAGGCATGGATGTTGTCCCTGAGCGCTTTTGCTCAAGGCTAGCGCTCTACCACTTTGAACCACAGCTCTACTTCCAGTTTTCTGGTGTCTAATTGGAGATAAGACTCTCATAGATTTTCCTGTCTGGGCTGGCTTTGAACTACAATCCTCAGATCTTAACCTCGGAGTAGCTAGAATTGCAGAGTTGAGCCATCAGCACCAGACAGTTTCTGCTGCTGGTACCTCCTCTCCCTTTCCAGCTCTACTGATTAGTCCCTGTGTGAAAGGTGTTGATATCCTCAAGCAATGTCCCCCTCCCCCACAGGGACGGCCTCCCTCCTTCTGCTTCCATCCGAGCCAAGGCCAGTTGTGTCTCTCACACCATATGGGGAGCTTTCAAAGGGCAGGTGCCAGCTGGGGCCCGTCTTTGCTTCCCACACTGTGCTCAGGACCTGACCCCTAAGGGGTCCCGTGAAGAAGTAGACTCACTCCCTATACTCCGCCTCTTGCAAGCTCCCAGAGCTAGCCAGTGGCTTCAAGCCTCCAAGTCTCAGTTTCCTCATTTGTGACAGGGGTGTAATCCCTCCCCCACCTCCCCTGCATCTCCACAGCTGCCAACCTTCCACTGTGGTTTCTATCAGGTGCTTAGCAGTTAGTAAATGGCAATAGAAAGCAGCAATCAGCATAGCCTGCCCGCAAAAGGCAGCAGCACAGAGAGCTCAAAGGACCCACCGTGATTGCTGGTCGAATCTCCACTGAGTATCTGGCCGTCTTTGGCTTGCCCCAGGTTGAAAGACGCCCCCAAGCTCTTAGCACTGTCCCCACTGTCTGGGCCAGCCCCTTCATCCTGAGACTGGTAGAACACAGAGCTGCCAGATTCCTGAGATTGTAGCATGCTGTATTTTCGCCTCTTGTCCTGGAGGGAGAAGCAGGAAGAGGGCTGGGAGTGAGACAGACATCATTAAGGCCTCCATGGGATGTAGCAGGGTGTGGATACCGGGGCTGGGTGGGCTCCACCCTGAGGGACCAGCAGAATGAGGAAGCGGTTTTGTGTGCTTACTGAATTTAGGCAAACTTCTGTTCGAGAGAGGATGAATAGAATTAATCTTTCTCATATCATTTATGTTATCTTAAATCATTGACATCATTGGTTAAATTAAAAAAACACATTAATTCTAAATGTCATTCCTGTCTCTAAATGATTGAATGAACAATACAAGCCATTGATTCCTCCATTTCATTATTTATTTCACACAAACACCCCCCCACACACACCATGTTGGCTTTTGGAGGTCATTTTTATTTTAAAATAACTGAACTGTAGAGCGTCTGCCCTGCAGGTGAGGGACTCACTTCAAACCCCAGTTCTGTTAAAAAAATAAAACATATGTATTAACACTTTCTACTAGTATCTTTGTGTGTGTGTGTGTGTGTGTGTGTGTGTGTGTGTTTATGTGTGTGTGAATGTGTGCACTGGTACTACTAGGGCTTGAACTTAGGGTGTGGGTGCTGACCATGGATTTTCCTGCCCAGTCTGGCTTCAAACCTTGATCTTTAGCTCACAGACTGGAGTAGCTAGAATTACAGGCGTGAGCCATGACTCCTGGCTCAGTATGTTAAACTTTGTACTTAATGCATTTTGGAAGTCCCAAGTCAAGCGTTCTCTTTAGCATCCAGTTATTTAATATTCCATCACCTCTCATTGTTAAACAAAGTTTTTGTGACCTTTTTTTCTACCACAAAATATTTGGTAATAAATCCATCACATTGCTTTATTTCTCTAGGTTAGAAAGATTTAGGTCTTCCTAATTGTATTAGTTGCTTCTCTAGATCACTTGCACCAACAAAATATGAAGGTATTGTTTATCTAACTAGTATCAGGAGAAATTAGCCAGAAAAGAGAAGGAACATGGATTCAATGAACTGTCAAGTCCTTTCTAGAGGGAAGTTTCTGTTGTGATTTGGTGTCTTCCAGACCTTCAAGAGCGACTTACACTATGCAAAGATGTAGCCACCATATTGTTCAGCATCACCCTCCCCTACAGTTGAACAGTCCACTCCACAACACCTCAACTCTGACGATGGTTCTTAAGAAATTCAATAACTTGGAAATTTGAAGAGTTCACATAAAATTCCCAATTTCTCTTGGAAACACATTTAACATAGAGTCCATATTCTGCACAACAATAGTTCATTTATACAGAGTATGGCCTATTCAATTTAGATAAAGCACTTTATTGCCTCTTCAGCTAAGCTCAGTGATAAGCAATATCTATCATGGCTTTCCCCCCCTTTGCTTATACCAAGTCCATTTTATAACTGTCCAGTAACCTAGGCATTGTGTTTGTGATTCCATGAAAACAAAGTGAGAGGGCTGGGAAGGTGGCTCAGTGGTAGAGCGCTTGCCTTGCATGCATGAGGCCCTGGGTTTGATTCCTCAGCACCGCATAAGCAGAAAAAAAAAAGCCGGAAGTGGCACTGTGGCTCAAGCACTGGCCTTGAGCTGAAGAGCTGAGGGACAGTGTTCAGGCCCATGACCAGACTCCCCCCCCCCCAAAAAAAAAGAGAACAAAGTGAGATAGGACTGGAGGTGTTACTCAAGTGGTAAAGTGTTTACCTAGCACAAGCCTTGAGATCAAATATCAGTACCACTAAACCAGAACAACCCAAAAGATGAGAGACACTTAAAAAGAAGTAATAGTGTGATGCCATTGGCTTATGCCTGTCATCCTAGCTACTCAGGAGACTGAGATCTGAGGATTGTGATTTCCAGCCCAGACAAGAAAGTCTGTAAGACTCTTACCTCCAATAAGCACCACAAAAGCCTGAAGTGGGGCTGTGGCGCAAGTGATAGAGCACTTGAATAACAAAGCTCAGGGACAGTACCCAGGCCCTGAGTTCAAGCCCCAGGACCAGCACCCCCCCCCAAAAAAAAAGTACTAGAGAGGTTCACTAAGGAGGAAAGAGATATATTCTCAGGTCTTCTCCCCCATTTAAACATGAATTTCACCTCCCTGTGAAAAGTTCTTGCTTATTTATCCCATTCTCACCACCAACTGCTAGAGAGTTATCCACATAATGAAATAAAACAGGAACTCATCTAAGGAGATAGAAGCTGACAAGAGAGTTTGGGGAAAGAAGCCCAAAGGGCATGATTGATCATCCAGGGGAGGTTATATGAAATGCAGATTCCTGGGGCTGGTCTACCTGAGTCCTTCATTCTCAGACCTAGGTGCTAACTGCAGCTCTGGATTTTAAACAAGTTCCCCCGGATGTTTTTGTTACAAGGCTCCTCAGGACTGTATTTTGAGATGGTGGCATCTATACAGCCACAACCTCATCATGACTGAATGCCTACAGCCTGGCTACTACCCCCCCCCCCAACTGTAAACCACTTCCAATGAGCTCCTCCCTGCCAGCTAAGGATGATTTGGGGGCAGGAGTTCTAGACTGCTCCTGGAATTTCCAGGGTACTTACAGATCTGAGATTGGAGACGTACAAGGAGGCATCACACACAATGCCGTATCCCACCAGACGCTCTCCTGGGAAGAGGGAGCTGGTGCTGACAGGTGAGATCAGGACCTCTGCTGTTTCAGGGAAAATCCACTCCACGCTCACATCGCTCAGCACTGGCGCCATGGCCTTCTTTAGGGATTTGACCATCTGCCGGGAAGAACCAGAACACAGGCCGGATGGATGTGTGAACAGGGGTATGCGTGGATGAGGGGCATAAAAGTGTCAAGGGGGTATGAGCAGGGAGCAGGAACTCAGGCCTTGAGGCTTATCCAGCAGCCTCTCTGTCTCAGACTCCTGAGATGGCAGGATTAGAATGGATCTTTGCTGTCATCTTCTTTAAGCCCAACATTTGGAAAAGAGAAAATCTGAGGATCAAAGTCTGACTATGAGTGGGGCTCAAGAGCACACAGAGTGAACTGGAGCTGGGAGTGGTGGTACATACGTGGAATCCCAGCTCTTAGGATGCTGAAGCAGGATAATGGGTTTGAGGCCCGCCTAAGAGAGTGAACGGGGGAATGATCTTTCCCGTTTTCTTTTCTTCTTTTCTCCTCCTCCTCCTCCTCTTCCTTCTCCTCTTCTTCCTCCCTCTCCTCCTCCTCCTCCTCTTTTTCTTCTTCTTCCTCTTCCTCTCTGATCCTGGGGCACTGCCCTTGAGCTTTTGTGCTCAAGGCTAATGCTCTACCACTTGAGCCACTGCTCTACTTCCAGCCGTTGGTGATATAAGAATCTTGCAGACTTTACTGCCTGGGCTGGCTTTGAACCATGATCCTCATATCTCACCCTCCAAAGGAGCTGACAGGTATGAGTCACTGGCTCTTGGCAGGGCAGTGATCATAAGCAAGTTAACATGTGACCTAGCAGCTAGTAGCCTGGCATGGCTTTCAATGTCATCTGGCCTGGGGTCTCCACCTCTCTGGTTCCTGCAGGGGTGCACTGTGGCCTCGTGTAGAGCCTAATGTGAAATCTCAGCTCTGTTGTGGAGTTGTCATCTGAGCTGTCTGAATCTCCGAGACTCCAGCAGTGGAAGATGGTGGTGGTGGTGGTGGTGGTGGGGCTTCTGCCTACCTTGGGTTGCAGGCGCTCTCCCTCTGCCAGGAACTCAGCACTGCCCTTGGACACAGATGCCAGCCCTTTCACCAGTCGATGGCACACATTGGGTCCAATTCCAAAGCTATAGCACCTGGGATGGGGACAGAGAGGCTGTTACCTGTTACCCTCTCTACATGCTTTCCTCCCCAAAGAGAAACAGACAGGGCCTGGTCCAGCAGGGGCAGCATGGAGCTGGCCCTGTATTTAAGCAGAAGGGGTGGGAGGAGGGGCACTCATGAGTGTGCATACACGTGAACCCATACACAGCCATAGACTGACAGCCAACACAGTGTCAGAGTAGCCTCTTCCTGGGTTACTCTTGGGACTTTCAGGCAGAAGTATAAGTGACACCCCTCCTGAGTTTTTAAGAGGAAAAGAAAACTTAAAAACCAGTCCATAAAGCTGGACTCTAGTGGCTCACACCTGTACTCTTAGCTACTCAGGAGGCTAAGAACTAAGAATTGTGTTTTAGAAGCTAGTAGCCTGGACAGGAAAGTCTGTGACACTCTTTATCTTCAATTAACCACCCAAAAGCAAGAAGTAAAGGTGTGGGTTAAGTGGTAGAGTGTCAGCCTTAAGTGCGCACGCACACACACACACACACACACACACACACACACACACACACACACACAAGCTCAAGGATAGCGCCTAGGCCCTGAGTTCAAGCCTCAGGACCAGTACAACAAAACAACAACAACAACAACAACAAAACACCCACAGACCCAGCCCACAGCATCCTGGAAGCATAGTCTGATGGGTAATGTCCTCCCTCAGGCATTATACACATTTTGTGCTTGTTCTGGACTCCCTGCCCCGGTCTAGCCTGGGCTGACCTGGTAGAGAAGGCGTGGTTCCGCACCAGCTCCAGCACCTTCCCTGTGTTGCCCACAGCACCATCGGTGATGAGGAAGAGGAGGCGCGGGTGGCCCTGGTGCACTGGCTGCCGCACAATCCACTTGAGAGGGGAGAGGATGTTGGTGCCCCCCATGTCGGCTCGCATTTTCTGGATGTTATCACAGGCCATGGCTAAGCTCTCCTGCAGGGAAAGGAACGCAGTATGGCCCACAGTCCCCGGGGTCACCTTGGGCTGTGGAGATCCACAAGGGGGTGCTCTTTCTCTCACTGGCTTTTACTCCAGCCCCTGGCTTGCCTGCCTGAGGGAAGACTAGGTGGCCAAAGATTTGATGGAATCCACACACTAGAGAAGCTTGCACTGGCTTTGTCTACTGCAGAATGACTTATTGCTTTCCTTTCGGGGTTCTTCTTTAAAAACAAAAACACTCTGGGAAGGTGGCACATTAAGCCATGGTGTTTCATGATGTGGAAGAGGTGGGGATGAGGGGAGGTAGAGGGAGCCATTTGGTTTGCTGAGGGCCATTTGGATTTCCTAACATTTCTTGGGCCCTACAAGATGACTAATACAGGCAGATCACCACAGGTAGCCAGCGAGAAGCCTACACCTCTGTCCCATCGTGTACCAAATGATGCTGTGGGCTTTATGTAGCCTACAGACAATTCCTTATTCCTGAATGTGGAAAACTGGGCTGGGAGTCCTTTGAAATGGGAGTTCTCAGTTTGATTCTGGCACCAACTCCTTATGATAGCTTGAAATGGAGATGATTTCCGCAGGCTAGGCCTCAGACCTTCTCCGTTGCCTGGAGCCTGGGACCCCACTGGCCACGTTCTACTGACACTAAGTGGATGTTGTTGTGGCAGGACTCCATTCCCTCTAGACGCAGTCTTGCCCCTAGCTTGTGAGCCGTTCTGTGGCCCTTGGCCCACCTATTTACCACCACCTCTTTTTCTTCTCTTTAGCTCAACCTTGCATGAAACAGACGCTCTTGTGAACAGCAGGCCATGGACACACTCTCTTCCCCTCCCTCTTCCCCATCTCTGTGAACCTGTGTGCTTCACCCAAGGTAGTATTTTATTTTCAAGAGGGAAGCTCTCAGCACTTGCCTAAGCAAGCATAGTGTTCTTTTTTACTTTTCTGCCCCTGCCTCTGCCCTGTGGGTGGCCAGTCTCCAGGGCAGGCCCCAAGTTACCTTCTCCTTCCTTTCCCCACTCCTTTCCTCTGCTTTCCAATACCCACCATCCTCTCAGTTTCACACTTGCCCTTCTGGTACCTCACTGTAGGTCTGGCTGGAAGGGAAGAGAGTCTTAAACGTGGATCCAAAGCCGATGATGTTGAAGAGGCAGGCTGGCATGAGGCTCTTAAGGGCCACGAGCATGGCATCCTGGCAGGCGAGAAAGGCATTTTCAGGATTCGGGCAGGGGCTATGCATGCTACCCTGCTACCACGTAGTGTCATTCCCAGGAAGGCGCCACCTCTGCAGAGACCTGTCACCCTCTTTCGGCAGACAGCATCTTCTTCTCTATCATGTCAGGAAATCTGCCAGTTCTGGCCAAGGCTGGACCAAAGCCATCATCCTATGATCTCTCATCCATGCAGCAGGTCTGACTCGTCAAAGCCACTCTGTGATGGCTGGCCAGTTCTAGTTCACCTCCCACTGACCTCAGGGAGGCAGATAAGAGGCGGAAGGAACCCACTGTTTTATACCAAAGCAAAACTGACATCCAGGGGACAAGGGACGCTAGCTGGGGCCACACTGCAGATGGAACAGCTTCTAGCCCTCATTCCAGGTCTCTACCTCACATCCAACCACCCTCAACCAGTGACAAGTCTCTCTAGACAGTCTCTATAACTCATATTCATCGGATGTCCAATGACTCATCGGACTCACTGGATGTGCATTATGTAAGTCACCTTCCAAAATCTTTATTATAGCCCTCTGCGGCATTCTCCTCCCCATTTTATAAAAGAGTAGATAGAGCCTTGTTGGTAAATCTCCAGTTAGTAAACAGCAGAGCTAGAGTTCAAATACATGTTACTTTATCTGCAAGTCTGCAGACATTAGAGTCTTAATCTATGTTATCTTGTATTGCTAGGAGACCTGGATGAAGGTTTGTTGAAAAATAATGACAAAAGATTGCAGGAGTGAAATGAAAATGATCCAGGACAAGGATGAATCTGAAAGCATGTGCTAAGTATTGTGCACTTTAAATCAACAATCTCATTCAATCTCTACATAGTGTATTACAGCATAGTGGGTAGCAAGCTATACTTTGATGTTAAACCTATCTAAGTATGGGCTAGGTGCAGGTGGTGACTCACTCCTGGAATCCTAGCTACTCAGGAAGCTGAGATCTGAGGATCACAGTTCGAAACCAGCCTGGGTAGGAAAGTCTATGGGATTCTTATCTCTAATTCATCAGCAAAAAGCTGGAAGTGGATGTGTGGCTCAAGTGGCAAAGCATTATTCTTGAGCAGAAGAGCTAAATAAGGGAAAGTATCCAGGTCTTGAGTTCAAACCCCAGTACTGGCACAAACAAATACACAAAAAACTATCTGGGTATAAATTCCACCTTTACCATCATTACCTTGACCTAAGGCATAGGCTCATCTGCTGTTGCTTCTTTTCTTCTTCTTCTTCTTCTTCTTCTTCTTCTTCTTCTTCTTCTTCT